GGGGGGGGGGGGGGGGGGGAGGGAGGGAGGGAGGGAAACAAATTAATCAGTCTTAGCAGCTGGATGAAGCAAGGCCTCCTAAGCCACAACACTCTTCCATAAGCCTGAACCAACGGTACCGAAAAACTCTTGTTTTGCGCACACGATGGCCATGCAAGCAAGAGCATGATTTGATGTGCTTTTCTCAGTCGGTCGAATTCGTAAGCACCCAAGACAGCGCCTTAGCATGCCGGTTGAACACTTCAACCTAAGGCGAATACTAAAACAAGTATTTTTCAATAAGTCGGTCATAGTCGCCAAGGCATTCAGGCATCCATCCATTGCATGGCCACAAGAAGAGGTGAAGGTAGAGTTCAAGAGGTCAGGATTGCCCCAGACCCAAACAGAAAGGCAGGAAGAGGAAGGAAATGAATAAACATAAAGAGTGGGAAAAAGAGGGGAGACAGAAAAGAACCGTCAGCTTGTGCGCACAGTACGCTACAAATACAGCGACCCCACGTTGATGTATAGCAAAATGCATCCCTCAGCATGTCACGCCAAGCGCCTTCCTCTCCTCGTGGTGGCTGTCACCGCCTCGAGAGATTGGCAGAGCCAGGCAGACTGGAAGTTGGGGGTGTCTCACAAACGCACGTCATTTACCGTAACGCTGCGATGGCTGCTGGCCAGTGGAACCGATTCGTTGTCGCTGTCGTCGTATTCGCCACGATGATAACAGCGCAATGCTGGCGGAAGGTTCCACAGGGCTGCCAAAAGCCAGAGGCCGATGACGAGGATGCCACCGGTAATGATGAGCGGGTTGTCGGCGCCATATCCGGAGCTTCCTTCCGCGGCGTTTGCTGAATGATTGCTGTGACCCACCCAGGCAGCAATTTGCTCCTCAATGGTTGGGCGAATGACCACCATTGATTCTTCCACACATTGTAGCAACGTGGTGTTGCTAGTGTTGCTCCTTAGGTTGAGGCCAGGTAAATCGGCCACCTCAGCGCTTACCAGCACGCCATGCAGGATGTCGCTGAGAAGATACCCGTTTGTCTTGACAGAATGGCCCAGATTAGCAGCGTACGTCAAAATGGAACCCGACACAACCGTGTCGACAGCAAAGGCGTCCACTTCATCAGCCAGCAACGCACGAATGGCGGCGTCGGTTGAGTTGAATACCTTGACCATGGCGCCGCGGATGCCTACACGATAGTCTTCAATGGTATTCTCGAGGACGGCCACGGTTAAAGTGGACAGCTCCTGGTCGGAACGGATGGAGGAGGGTGGCTGCAGATACAAGAGCAAGCGCGCATTGACAAGGCCCACCAGCAGCCAGGTGGCCCACTTCCAGACCATGAGCAAGACGCGCGAGGCGATGGCCCGCGGGTGTCGCTCGTCGTAGAAAACGGCGAGCATGACCATAAAGGCATAAAAGATTGTCCATAAAAAGCCGTTGGGGAATGTGAGGCTGTAGTTGATATCGGTCGTGTGGTAGGCCTTGAGCGCCACCGACGCCCATTCAGCGGCGTACACAAGTGTGCCCACGACAATGCCGACCACCAGGGTGAGGACGAGCAGGTAGACAATCTCTGGGGAGATGATGGCGCCCAGGGTAGTGGCCATGGATTGGCGCACGGAAATGATAAAGGTCAATCCAGGACTGCGCACAACATCAATGTAGTATTTCGGGAGGTCCGTGTTGGCGTTCATGGCCACGGGGAGAACAGCGCCCATTTCCACATTTTGCACGGGCTGGTAGAGCGCGTCAGCCGGGAGTTCGGTCGAGACGCGAGACCACGAGGCAGAAACATAGGCTCGAGAGAGGTCCTCCATATAGGGTTGAGGGGCGTATCGAGTGGCAAAAGCGAGGCCAATCGGCGTATAATATTGCCCTGTGGCCGAATAATTGAGCGGGGCATAGCCGGAGCAAATGGCGAGTGCTTGCCGCCAGGCACCATAAGTAAAGATGGCGTACGGGTCGCTGCAGGCCAACACCTCAAGAGTGGCCGTGTCATTATCCTGATGAAAGACAATGTTGACGGCATCATCTAGCGAATAGTTGTGCATTGTCCTACACTGGCGGGATCAAGTGTCAGCTGGGGGTGAGGCGGCGCACCCGCGCACGACCGTTTTGGTGCATAGCAAGAACTGGAGTGGGGACAGTTTCAACCGAGGGGAAGGGTCGAATCGAATGCTGATACCTCGTGGCGAAAAGAGTTGTCAATTCCTGTGGGAATGAAGTCTCCGCTAGCACAAGCTACAAGAAGCAGCACAAGCCAGACTTGGCCCTGGCGCCGTGACCCGGCCCATCTTCTCGCCGAAGTGGATAACACCGCCATGCCGTCTTTGCTCGCTGTGCAGGCCCAAGCTGCGGGATACACCACGAGTGGGGCTTGGAAAAATTGGAGACAGGGTCTGAGAGAAAAGCACCATCGGTGGGTGGAGATGAGTGCCGATGCTGTCCACGGCAGTCAAGACGAAAAAAAAACAAAAAAAAATGACAACTCGAGCACTCGAGGCTTGTCTCTGGCCTCCGCTATCTGTTTGCCCGCCTGTGGGTGGGAGCCGAGCAACTGGAATGGAAGGAGGAGGCGACGCACGCTGCACCGGTGGCTCAGACTCAATCCTGGGGCCGCAGTGGGACGGTGGAGGGCTCACCTCTATTCAACTCGATTGTGGTCGAGCTGTTGTAATGCGAGCGACATGAATGAGCAATCTCAAAGGTGCTACTCAACGGGTCTTCTACAGAACATGATGATCAAGGGGAACAAAAAAAAAAAAAGTAAGCAAGTTGGCAATCCATCAGTGTGGTGCTCCTGTCCAGCGAGCTCAGAGAAGCTGATGACATCGCCGTGGAAAGTGTTTTAGAGGCATCGAGCACGACGCGGGCTGCCCGACCCACCAGGGTGAGAGCCAAAGGAAAAAATGGAGACACACAGTTCTGTTGACCCGTGTCCTCAAGTCAGTCTAATCCATCCACGCACACAGCGTGGGTCTTCATCTTCCTCCAACCCGAATCCCGCCACATTACCCATTCATGCACGCGGCGGCGATATCGGCGAAACACCAACCTAACCTGACCGCAAAGCTGGCAATCATGTGATATTTGGGGAGGCTGAAGAAAAAGGGGTCGCGGGGAGTAAATCTGTAGGGGGCGAATGACGCATCTTGTCCATGCACCCCCACCATCCATGCACCCCCCTACAGATGTCTGGAAGCGTGGACTGCACCATCAACACTCTCCCTCTCTCCGCGCTCTCCGCTCTCTCCGCTCTCTCGCTCTTTCGCGCATCATTGGCAACATCGAAAAGAATTGTCAGCACGAGCTGCATTGGTAATAACGCAGCGAAACCCCGGCTAATGTTGTCGAGTTGATCGTCCGTCAGGCGATCATGGAGCAGCAAGATAAGATACTTGAACTTACACTGTAGGTATTATCAAAACTTCAATAACTCCATATTATTCGACAATGACTCAAAGCAAAGTCCCACCCTCATATGTCAGACAAATTTTGATCCATAACAACACACACTCTCTCTCTCTTTTTGGCGCTGAAGGCGTCGCGCCAATTTCTCAAACGGCAGAGGAGCTTGACAACGACGCGATCGCTGCTGCTGCGATCGGCTGTAGATGACTGTTTGAGTGGAGAAGGTCAAGGCAAGAACGAGAGGCGAGGCTGATGGCATTTTAAAGCATCCTCGCTTGCAAGCTGAGAGCAGCTTCATACGTGACGCGACTCGAGGCGGGGCAGTGCTCATCTGGTACGTAGCTTTGCGTACCCATGTGATTTGACGAGCAGCCACCTGACCCTATCTTGACCCTGTCATGCCCGGCACAAGCAGACCCCGCCTCCATGTCGGACCTGCCCAGTCCATCACCGGGCAAACTGGCTGCAACCACTGCCACGGAGGTCTGTTGTGCCTCGACTTCTTTGGGATTTTCTCGCTCGTTGGCACTTGGGTGGCAGACGCGCTACTGTGCCACTCGCACGGGTCTCATACCAAGCCCTCATCCCACACATCCACCATGCCGTCGCGTTGAGATAGCGCGAGAACTGGCACACGCGTCGTCGTCAGCAGACTCGCTCAGAGGCCGATCAGGATCTGACCTTTGCTCCAAAATTAAACCGCATCTCACGGAAGCTGGCTGCCAACCTCAATGCTGAACAACTGGAGGCTCGGCGCGAACTGCATCACCAACGAGTCGTAGCTGCCGCACAGGCCCATATGCGCTTTCAGCCAACCATCAACCCTACCTCAGCCAGTCTGGTTACGTCCGACTTTCACGAGCGACAGCGAGCCCACGCTGAACGTTGCCGAGAACGCCTCTCTCTGCCGGCGCTCTCGACTGACTCGGCCAAGGCAGGCGCCAACAAGCTCCGAGGAAAGCACTCAACGCGCCGAGACCATGGCACTAGAATAGCACTCAAGGCAGCGTCGCCCCCTAACCGACGCACCAAGGCCCCTGATCCCCCCTGTGCCTGCATCAACAGTTCCTGTCAGCACCCCTCTCATGGTACACTTATCCGACACCGCCCCGCACCCAAAGCACCTGGTTGGTCCCCTTTGCTGTCAATTGCTGAAGATAGCTGGCACTTGCAGATGCCCAACCCTTTGCCACCAACTCAAATATTGAGGCTGCTCAACCTTTCCGCGCCGTTCGTCTCTCCTCATCCTGTTTCCCATTCTCAGGTCGAAGAGGTCCCTTGGAAGCCAGTCGAGCCGCACGCGAGGTTGGAAGCATCCCCTCACCCCTTTTCCGCCCCTTAATTCTGTGCACCAGAGGCTCGTGCATTTCGCATGAACGTGCCCTGTAAACCTGCTATAGCACCTGTACTCTCATCCAGGTCGGCTTGCCCATGCTTGCACTCCTTCATTCAGCGTGCCTTGGAAGCCGTGCGTGCTGGCAAGGTCTATACCATGTACGGACGCTACGAAGGCATGCGCGAGGCCCTGGAGCGTCGCGGCTGGGTGGCAAAGCCCGTTCCGATAGAAGGTCTGTACGCAAACTCTCCATCCCAAGCCAAGCTGATGCCTTTGCATCAGGAAAAGCTGTGACTATTTGGTGCTGCCTCACAACTTTACTCTGGCTGGCTTCCACACCGATGAACTTTTGCTGTCTTGCGTGCGGTGCTGCAGGCGATAACTTGAGTGATTATGACCTTAGTGGGGTCCGGGCACGGCCAGCTCCAGCTAGCCAGCCAGCTTTGCCCGGTAAAAACACACCTGATCCTTTCATAGGCAGTAGCCAACGGAGCACTCCGGAAGCATCGCATGTCCAGCGCCCACAAAACGCCTTGGTCGATGAGGACAGGACTGAAGATGAGAAGTTTGGCGACAGTTTGGCAGGAGAGACCGATTCTGATGCTCAGGACAGTGACGACGACGGAAGTAACCATAACACAGACCACGACGATGACGACAACCGTGACGAACACGATCGCCCCGAAGATATGGAAGCCCGAGTGCAACGCGCGCTTCAAGGCTATCCAGCTAACCTTATATTTACTTGTCACATGAAAGACCTCAACTTTCGTACGATGAAACCATTTCAAATGGTTAATCACTTTGACGGCCATCGTATTTTGACCACCAAGGCTGGGTTGACTCGTCTACTCGAGGACACACATTGGACCTCTTCTGAACCTGCATCCACATTCTACCCTCACTGCTTCAGTTTAGTCGACAAGGATGGTCTGGCCGGCTTTGTTCAGCACTTTCGGCTGTTGTGTGCCACAACCCTGCTGCGCAAGCGCATGGACTGGGATGTGCCCCACCAAGCTTTGTCGCTTTCGTACCGGGCTGTCAACGCCTACGTGCACGATCGCACGGCTGGAGAAGCCGAGGTAACCTTTGACAGTGCACTCACTGCAGTTGAATGGGAGGCGGTGCTACGTTTGCACTATTCGCTGTTAGATTGCCTTGACGCAACACCCGCACAGCCCTTGGCCGAGGAATCTGAACTTCAAAGCGACAGTGATGCAGATGGCGAAGAAGAGGGGCCGTCCCCGGCCCCTGCCCCTGCCGAAAGCGTGGCTGCGCGGCGCTTGATCACACATGGCCCCACGGCCCCAGGTCGCAGTGAGCTGGAAGAGGCCATCGTCCCCTTCTGCTCGGCAGAGTTGCGCAGACAGGCTGACCAGCTCCGGGCCAGTTGGACGCCAGCTGGAAAGCAAATTGCAGCCATGGATGCCCAAGCGGCCCAGCTGCTGGCCACAGTGCACGAGCTTTGGCCTCAACTTGCAACATATGGCCACCGCAACGTCTGGGTGGTCAAGCCGGCAGCCCTCTCTCGAGGACGTGGTATCTTTTGTGAGAATCGGCTCGATTTCATCCTCCAAACCATTGTGGCTGGCTCCAGCCAGGAGACTTGGGTGGCGCAAAAGTACGTGGAGGATACGCTATTAATCAACGACACCAAGTTTGATATTCGGCAGTGGGTTGTTGTGACATCTTGGAACCCACTTGTTGCCTACATTTATCGCGACAGCTACCTCAGGTATGCACGATCAAGCGCACATGGTTCTCGTGTCCAGTGTGCCGCCTGGCTATCTTGGGCTTCCACGGGCCCCTGTTGCACATGTTCACATGCACCCTCCCTAACCCGTCTCAACCGTGGCCCATGGTTGTAGGTTCAGCTCTGTACCATTCAACCTGGACAATATCCACTCCAAGGAAAGCAGCGACACCCATTTGTGTAACAACAGCATACAAAAGTCTGCAACCATACGGCCCACCGACGAGTGGGCTCCCGAATGCATGTGGTCATCTAACCAGTACCGCGCACATCTTGAAGAACAAGGGCAAGGCACCGCTTGGGCCGAAAGAATTTTTCCCGCCATGTGTCAAGTGACTCGCTCCGTCCTTCTTGCTGCTCAACCGCAAATGCACGCCCGTAAGAACAGCTTTGAGCTCTTTGGCTTGGATTTTATGTTTGACGCACAGCACAGTGCCTGGCTCCTTGAGGTCAATGCTTCACCCGACCTAAGTCACTCTACAGCCGTCACAGGTAAGAACCTGTACAACCTTGGCCTTGAACTTCGTTCACCTTCTATCTGGCTTGAGGGGATGGCTTCTTACGTCGAACTCACTGCCCCCTTTTTGGCCTTGTTGCTTTTTGCCCAGCTGATCTCGTGCCACGAGCACTCGAGGATCTGGCGAAGCTAGTGCTTGATCGCCGAGATAACCGCAAGGCTGACATTGGCAATTTTGAGTTGATCATCAAGGAACCAGCCGTACCACAGCCGCTCAACGCTGCTCGAGACCTTGCCTTGGAAGGCAAAGGATTGCGTCGCCCGCAGGCTCTAGATTCCTCCCGACTGGCCGACTTGGCACAGCCGAGTACTGTTGCTGCACCGTTGCACACGGCAAAAGAACATGACCTCGGCCCGAACCGTCATCGGCGGGGCCGCCCACATGAACGAGCATCAGAGCTACAGCGCAAGCCCAAGAGCTCGCGGTCAGCAAGACACGAGAGTCAACGTGCCAATAAGTACAATGAGGAAGGCAAGGAAGGTGTCCTCGTGCCCCCTTCGCTTCTACATACCAACAGCTCTGGTGTCACGATTCCACTTGTTCGACGACGTCAACGCTCCGCCCAGCCTGTGAAGCATCTGGCCTTGCTCTGGGCAAAAGCTTCCACCGAAAACCCACCGGACGTGCTACACACAAAGGCCCCTCCACAAAAGATTAAAACGCGCGTCACCGACAGTTTGGACCGCGTACCCTTGCCGCCCAAAACCTATGATCTCACTCTTAACGCCACTTCGTGACATGAGGGCAGTGCACGCAAGACCACGAGACGGAGGGCAGTGTAGCTCCTCAACCTCGCGTCCTTGTGGATTTGCCCTGACTCAAACGCTCGCTGCAGAGCACATCCCACTCGCTAACACAACAACAGTGTAGGTATGACAGTCTTGTTCAAAGACAGAAAGTTGACTTTCAATTGATCGATTTGCAAAGCAGTGAATGCGAGTGCAGCTCATACTATCAAGGCGTTGTGCATGAATTCAGCTCAACATTTGAAGCGCCGTGTGCCGCTCTTTAAGCCTCGGATTCGGACACGAGTCGAGTTAGCATTCGATGCAGTTGGGTGAGACCAAAAAGTTGACCCGCGTCCGAGCCCCTGGATTGTGGAAGAATGCAGCAGGTGAGCTGCAAGTAAGGTTCTTCCGCCAGCAACGGCGAATGAACGGTTTGTCATGAAACGTACTTGTGCACGTCGGCATTCCAGAGTGGTGATGCCGGGTGAATTGTCTTGGCAAAGTCGATCAAGCGAAGCTCAGCGCGCAGGTCGTTGACGCGTCCGTTGTAGACCACCAAAAGGGAGCACGAGTAAAAACTAATACGGATCATAAAGGTGAGAAGGCGCTTACAACATCTCACCGCCCTCTCTGATCGCGGATTCGCCAGACATGGTGCATACCGGAACCCATCCAAACGCTTCAAGTCTGAGATGAGAGCATCCAGTTTGACAGCCAAGCTCTCAATCACCTATTCCGTGCCATCAGCCAGGGGCAGCCAGGATGAGCCAAAACAAATGGAAATACAAGAACTGGCGACACAAAATCTCCAAAGCGCAATGCCTGGGAAAGTTTGTCTCATGACTAGAAAGCGTGCTCACCTCACGCCGCAAGCTGCCTTCGCCTACAGAGAAGAACTTGCGTAAACACTGCGACTCAAATGTTTCCTTGGTCAACTGTCGGCCATAAAACTTGTCGTAGACCTCAACGCTACCGTCGGCTTGCGCTAAGCGCATGCCGCAACAGCTTTTGGGGGGGAACACAATGCATGATGAGTCGCCACAATGGCAAAATGGGCACAGGCAATATGCGAAAGCTGCGCCCCCTCCTCTGGCTTCACCTCAGCGCGCCGAACGTGCACCTGAAGTGCAGATGCACCCTGGCTTTACGAACTAACCGAATGCCAAGTGAGCCGGATGTCGTGGCCTGGCATTTTGCTAGCTGGCGCGCCCGCTTTTCTGGAGTGGCGTCGTCTCCGTGTTGGCGAGTACCTGCGACAAGACCACCAAGACGAACATTGGGAGGTCGAGAGACAAAAAAAAAAAAACAAGATTGAGCCAAGCTTGTCCACAGGCACACACACGCATGAGAAACGCTGCACAATTGCAATAGATCTTCGGCGTACCCAGCTTGAGGTCGAGGATGCATGGTGCATCATAAGTGACCAGCAGGTTTTCCAGAACGACAAACACGTGACGTTGTTCGCGCGGCTTGCGGGCTGAATTGGTGGCTTGACTTGAGGCCTGGCGCAGGCTGTTGGTGCGCATTGGCCAAGCTTGCTTGCGCTCGACAGGTTTGGTGCCAAATCGCGTAGCCACCAAAAATTCCTCTGCCTATTGCAGGTATCAACGGAGACGGCATCGTCACCACAGAGAGGTAGCACGCAAGCACGTCAATTGCCTCGAGCTGGCTACTCGAAGGCATTTACGTACCTCTTTGAGTGTAAGAAGAGCCTTTTCCAAGGAGCTGATGGTCGATTCGCGCACAAGGGACGGCTCATAGAGAGCAGCTTCTATACATCAAAGCAGTCAACCCACTTGAGAACTGACAGAGCAGAGGTAGCCAGAATATGCACAGGAGAGGGTGTACCAAACTCGAGAAACAACAGGACCATACCTTCCTCCGGCAGGCTGTTGATCAACCCGCGACATGCATTGTACCATTTGAGGCACAGCACTTGAGATGCAAAGTAGAGTGGCACGATGGCGTCACTTTCGGTGACTAAGCCAAACCCTTGGCCGGGTACCTGATGCGATCGGGTGCGCAATGGGAAGAAGCGTCGAGCAAAGGTGAGCCAAAGGTGAGCCAGGCTCATAAAAGTGGTGCAGACCAACGCGCACAAGCATCGATTTGATTTCAGGACGGACCTGAGGCCAGGCAATGTTTGCTAGACGCTCGTCTGTAGGGCGCAGCACTTGGGCCACGTGCTCGCGCAAATTCAGCTCGCCCAAAGGTGGAGTGCTGACACTGTCACGCACCATCTCAGAAAACCAAAGCAGTTTGTCCTACACATGTGCGGCCGTTTGTGGTGACGACGTTGCCAGCCGGGTGCAAAGTTGAGCATGCAGTCAACAACACCCACAACTTTCATGGCCTGATCCGTGTCCTAGCATGTTGGCTCGAGAATAATACCGCACCTGCTGTAGAACAAGCCAACGCTGCTGCCAAGTGCCCGCTAGCCATGATTGCATGCGTACCCAGCCAACCACAACCCCGCGGTGGCTCATGGCCAGCATGTCAGCATCCTCGGCATGACTCGGCACCTCCTCAAGCGGGAGAGCAGGATAGCCGATGGAGGAACGGCGCAACCCCTGCGTAAAAATAAAATGAGCAAAGATTGATGCGAAATAATGAAGATCACATTGGGCTAGAAGTCAGCCCCTGCAGAGCAGCTTTTTCAGCCCTCTTTCAAGCATTTTGGATCCGCTTGGCTCCTCGCGCACCAAACACAGACCTTGAAAGAAGTTGGGTCGGGCGAGGCGTAAGACTCGGGCACGCTCACAGTAAAGCGCCGTGTCTGCCCGTTCAGGGTAAGCCACCGCAGGACGCAGTGATGAGATTATGTATGTCAAGAGCTGCACCAAAAAGGTAGCCTTCAAAAAAGAGAAAGGAGCAGCGATAAGCCAACTTCAGGAAACCAGATGTCGCACACTTACAAACTTGGGACGACTGGGTGTCGCTTCAGCAAGGGAAGATGTTGAGTTTGAGGAAGCAATTTGCATGTCCTCTTGCTGAACGTGAATGGTGCCAAAATAGCGCGGCATCCATCGCTTCAAACAATCGCGCCACAGCTGTACTTGATCCAAGTGAGCATTTAAAAACTCTTTTGCCTGTGCCGTAAATGGCTGGCTCACAGTCCGCGGGACCACAGCTAAAAGATTGCAGTGGTTAGGGTAGCATCGAAGAGACGGTGCAGCTCCAGATAGGACAGATGCAAGAAGCGGTGCGCACCTGCATCCTGTTCATCACCAAAGAGCAGCATGTAAAATGCGTGCTCTTGATCATTCAGCGGTTTGCAAAGCTAGCAAGAGCAGACCAGGAGTAAGACAAATAAGACACGCGGGGCGAGGAGGGCGACAGAAAGAAAAGAGAGCGTAGTTTAGTGCTGCTGGTGGCGATAGGCTATTGGGCGACCACACACCTTGGTGTCACCCAGGAGCATAATGGTATCAACATGGCCTGCCACTTGCTTGTCAAATGGCCGGAGCACATAGCGTGGAACGCCTGTATGACAGGAAAAGCGAGTGCTTGTTAACATGCAATGCAAGCACGTGAACAACGCAACCAGGTTGCAATGCACGCACCATCCACCATGTACATCGGTTGGGTGGTACCGGGCACAGCCACGGGCTCCACATCGAGCGCCCATGGATCCCCTGAGGTGGCCTCCACCCAGCTTGGCTCATCCTAGAGTAGCAGTCCATGGCCACAAAGTAAGATCGAATGAAAAAATTCAGACCAGGACACCCTGACAGGTATGACGAACTGGAAAGCTTCGGCGATCCAGCATCAGAATATTCTTGAACTCTGCAAACAACCGCGCACCACGGTCACACACGTATTGAGGGTATACAACGGGCAAAATGAACGTGCCTAGCTGTCCCCTGGTCGACCTGACACATGAGGGAGGGAAAGATCGAGCCACCGGCGAAACGAAAGCCGTACCTTCAAACTCCATGTCACCAAAGTCACGCTGAAGCCATTCGCAAACCTAAAATCACAAATGCAGCATCCTTAGATCAAAAATCCATTCAAAAGGAGGCAAGCCTGTCTGTGGCATGATGCGTGGCATGAGTAGCCGAAACACACTTGACCAGGACCCGGGACCCGGCATGGATGAACAGTTTCCTTGTAGCCTTGGAGCACAGCCTCATCGTCTGCGAATCCAAACACATCTGGATCGGGATTGTAGAGGACACGCACGCGGTACTGCCCAGGCACGGGCTCGTGCAACTCGAAGCACAGGTGGGCAGCAAAGCTGGGAATCGGAAAATCTTTGAAGCCTAAACGCCACGGATACAAAGTTCACGCAGTCGGGGCACGCCCCGTATTGTGACACTCAGATGAGATGCACAGATAGCACGCCGCAGGTCAGCCACCCAAATACCACAGACTGCTTGCAAGATCATCAACATACCCAGTTGTGCCAGCATGGCCATGAGTGAGTTGTCATGCGCGCTGTACACTGTCAAACGGCCATTTCGTTCCTCGGCATCTACAATCGACTGGAAGCTGTTGATGATTGTACCTACAGGTTCATGATTTACCATACGAGCGCGCACAGGTCAGTGCAGTTGCACAGGCCAGTGCAGTTGCCGTGATATCAACAAGTCTGATGCCTTCTCTTCGGTCAAAAGATTCAACCACACTCGGCAGGCCATGATGGCCAGAGATGATCATCGGTGTTTCACAATAGGTACCAACTAACTTGGCAAGGTGCCTGCGGCGAGACGAGCCAAGCGACGTTGATCATCGTTGTTCAAACCGCAATATCGCAGTCGACAAATAGTGTCGGCGACGAGACGCAGCGCCTCCTCGTCCGCCACATCCAGCGTGACGTCGTCTGCATTGAACAAGAGCTAAATCGACACGCATATGTGTTTTTTTTTTGTGGTCATGAATGAAGTCTGTAAAACGTGATCGTCTTCCGTACAGGTATTTCTGTAGAACACACGCACCTCCATGGCGTGGGCGCGCTCGATATTGATTTGCTGTGAGACAGACTGGAAGCTCTGCAGGCGTTTACGCATTGACTTCTCGGGGTCAATCTTCTCAAAGCCCGTGCTCTGCCACAGCTTTTCAGCCAGCTGGCAAAAACGTTCCTCCTCTGCCCAGGCCCGAAAGTCAGGGGCTGCCATATAAGTCAGACGAGGGGTGAGCTGACGGTCAATAGCGGCCCAAAAATAGGAACAGCAGTAAGCCACAATGTCCATGAACAAACCGCGTTCAAAGACATCGTCCTTGATGGTTTCGTATGCTGCATTGCTTTTGAATCCGTGCAAGAGTGGAGAGTAAGTTTCACTGGCCACATGGATGGGGATGGAGGCTGTTTGGCGTTCACACACACACACACACACACAGTGGTGAGGCTTCGTAACCGCATGAAGAAAAGACATGAGCGTCAACATTTTCCAACCATGCCAAAGGTGACATACTGCTGATTCGTTTTCCACTGCCGCTTTCGATGCTCCGGATACGCGATAAAGTCTCGGAGCGAACCCGTAGATTGCGCTGCCGTTCTGCAAATTTGGAATCCTCATCCAGAATGAACTGTGGGCTCGAAGCTGGAAATAAACCCAGGAGCAGACTGTATGGGTAATGGACCCAAGACCCCAGCATGTTGCGCCATGAGGAGAACGCTGGTCAGCATTGGGTTCACGGGGATTGCCACCAGAGTCTTTGCTCACCTCTGAGCTGACATCAACGTGCGATCAGAATTGGAAGTATACACTTCCACACGCTCTGACAGATTAGGAGCCTACGGTTGAAAGAAGTGATCAAGTGAGCGTACACGAGAAGAAGATATCTTGACAAGTCTTCCGCCATAGACAGAGCACACAAGGCGGAGAGGTGCTGTGTCGCAATTTGACTTTGGCTTGAACAAACACGTCCCAACAGGCAAGACGTTTTTAATACCCCCTTCTGCCCAGTTGACGTACATCCACTTCCAACAGTTGATCGCGCTCGAGGTACTTGGCACGCAGCATGTCACCCAACTTGGTGTGTTGCTGACAGCCGACTGGGGTGAGGCGACCGCCATAGTTGGTCCAAAATTCCTTCTCTTGTGGCCAATGGTTGTCACGAGGAAAAGGCTTGAGAGGGAAGCGCGCGCCGTGTCGGGTGATGACGACTACGGCACGCAAAGTCCGATTGTGGGCCACCTTCCAGGCCTCCCGGCGTAACTGGTGCGTCTCTGACCGCAAGAACTTGGCAACAAATTGGTCATAACGAATTTTGTCCCGACTGTTGGGATCAACCTACAAGCACGCCCAGATGAATAGACAATTTGGCAAAGACACGCCCAAGTTGGGCCACAAGAGGGGAAGGACAATGGCGCACGGGATGAGGGGGAATATTCAGAAAACCCAAGACGGGGGTAGAGGGGCATGTGGAGTCACCTGGTTGAGAAGGAAATCAATGTCTGGTGTAGGAAGGTCAACAACAGTGCGCAGCAAAAGCACCAATTGATGACGTGTCAAATAGCCGTATGACCGCTCGTCGTGGGCTTTGAACACCACCCTAAGCCCGGCAGGAACCACAGTGTCGATAAAAACAGCGTGCGTGCGGGGTTACAAACAGCAAGTGAAGCAAGGCAGTGAAATGAGGGCCCACACCTCAGATTGACATTTTGCTGCTGGATGGCCAAGCCGATGTGGCCCATAATCACGTTTTGCATAAAGTCCACATAGTGCACCTGAACCGGAAAGCAGGGATCAGGGTGAGCGGGGACAAGCTGGTGCAGAGCCTGCAGGCACATCGGTTCTGTTCACACACTTCTTGCGAGGGGCAGATAGCCAGCAAGCGCTGAACGACCAGAAGAGGTAGCTGCAGTTCTTCTCCCAGCAAGATTTCCAGCTTATCTTGGGCGACAGCTCCAGCTGGAACACAGTGTGCACGAGAGGACGCGAGCGCAAAGAGGTGAAGAAGAACTAGAATGATACAGCTCGTTTCACGCGCAAGTCCCGTTGCAATCCTATATCTCTTCACTATCAGTCTAGTCTAGTGCATGGTGCGCACCTTCGTTGGCGTGGCTGGCGAAGAGCTCATCCAAGCTAGCATAGTGGGGCTTCAATCCCTATGTGACCATAGAGCAAGGCGAAGTTCACTCTCAGGCCCGGTGGCTCTGCGAGACCAGTGGAACGAACGTACCTTGAGGAGGGCCGCCACAGCCTCAACCCCTTGGGTGGTGGCGTCCATGCTTGGACACCACGCAAAAGGTCTGAAGTGGTTCACGAGTGCATCATATCGAGACGGTCATACAAAGACACATTTGAGCATCAAGAGGCCACGGGGCTCGATCGACTTTGTCTGGACCGAAAAAGAAAAGAAAACCCGAAGCTTCGTTGTTTTTAATCTAGACACCCACGACAATACGGACCCGCTTTGAAAAGTCGGTCCAAGTCTCGGTTCAGTTCTGCCTACCTTTGAGAAACTGGTCAACCCACCCACCGGAACGACGCGTGAGACACGAGGCCAGCAACAGGGTGCCGAGAGAGGGTTGCGCACACTGACAAGTTGCTTGCTTGAGGCGAGACAAGTTGAGAATTAATTTTCTGACATCAACATGCTGATTCGATTTGGTGGTGAACTGTACAACCGCCTTTGTGTGTGTCTGTGTCTGTGTCTGTGTCTGTGTGTCTGTGTGTCTGTGTGTCTGTGTGTCTGTGTGTCTGTGTGTCTGTGTGTCTGTGTGTCTGTGTGTCTGTGTGTCTGTGTCTCTTGTCTCTCTCTGTCTCTCTGTCTCTGTGTGTGTGTCTGTGTCTGTGTTAGTGTGTGTGTCGGTGTCGGTGTCGGTGTGCTCTCTCGAGCTCGCCTTGTGACCATGCACAAGATGCGACGGAAGCAGAATTGAAAGTGATCTATGGGCGGTTTGTGACTGTCCTACAATTTGCAGCACCAAAAACTTTGGCAGTCTAGACTGCTGTTTGACGAGGCCTTGTTGCTCGGGCTCAGAATGTGTGGGGTCGGGATAACGCCAAACGAGAGCCTACGACTTGCACTCGGCAGCAGCAATGACGCTGGCTGCATCGAGCATGGTGCGCCCATGCAAATCTTCTTGCTCGTCTAAAGAACAAGCCGGAAGCCCCAAGCGAGTGAGCCTGTGTTGGAACAGACTGACAAACGTGTATGGTGAAACGTACGAGGAGGTAAGGGCGGCACATTGAGCACGGCTTCGGCAACGGCAGGCTAGCAAGAGGCACAATAAATGACGGCGTGAGTCCGATGCAGTCGTGTGTGCGGAGACCCTTTGATGTTAGGTCGAGTTTACCTGCTTGAGAATATTGGCGAGGACGCGGGCTCGATGTACCACATCGATGTATGGGAGTTCATCCTCACTGCGCCCCTCAGAAAACGTGCTGTGTATCTAATGGCGAGAAAATGGACAAGCATGAGTGACACAGGAGACACGTCGCATGTCGAGGTGTGCAAGCACACCTTTTTCAGATTGAGAGCAACACGAGGCCGCAGCTCTGGACAACGGGTGGCCAGCTTGGCCAGGGCCATCATAAGCATGCACAGAATTTGCATTGGATGCTGGGCGCCCGTGCTGCGGTGGTCCTTGACGGTGCTGTTGAGCTCGTAGGCAAAGGTCTCCAGAGCTTCATGGAATATTAAGAAAATGCTAGTGTCGCAACGCTCGTCTAGCTGGGGCGACGCGTACTCGCCCACAATCCAAACAAGGTGTGAGAAGAACTCTTCGCGTCCATTGGCCATGTTTTGCCGGTTGTTGAGAAACTCCAACAGGTCCTCTCGCAAGTCTAAGAGGAGCGAAGGGTGACGATAGAACAGCTCGAGCAGCATCCGGCTGAACACGCCCTGAATAGTGATGCTCAGGTTGCAGGCCTGATAAATGGTCACAATCCGCTCCAACATCAACAGCACCACCTCGCCGAGAATCTACAAGATCAACAGCAAGAAGTGAGCCAAGTGGGCGTGCTTCGATCACGGCAGGAAGAGCCACGCCAGGTGCAACCAGGCACGTTTTGACCTGGTCTCCCGCATCGCGAAGCAAGGCCTCAAAGTAAATGTCCAGCAGCGAGTGGACAACTGAGGCCGTCTTGACTACCCGGGCGTTGGTGGCAGCTGGCAGGAGCAACGCATGAAGCTCTTTAAGTCGATCAATCGTGCCGCCCAAGCCCCCCTGCGCCAGCACCGCGAACAAAGTCAACGTGTTGACCGTGAGCTAGTCGAACCGACGAAAGAACAATGCAACAGCGATGGTGTGCAATGGACCTCATCGCGCAGAATATAATTCAGCAAGGGCAGAGCCAGGTGAGGATTGTCCGATTTCGCTGCCAGAGCCTCAAGCTTGGTGCCTGTATTAACAAAAGCGATGCATGAGCAACTCGCAAGACCCGGCTATCCCTGTTCGAACGGCATGGAGAGGAAAAGGCTCCATCCTGTTTTTGAGGCTGAAGCTGACAGATCAACAAGAGCAGAAGAGCGACTCGCACCCGTCAGCATCACCAAGGCGCCGGTGACGCAAGGGAGGTCGAGAATGAGATGCAGCACCTCCAGACAGCTCTGGTCATTGAGCAACATTGGCAGAATGAGCTGAAAATTGCGCAAAAGCAACACTGGATGCCTAAAAGAAGCCAGACGAGCGCCAAGTGGCAAGGTACGGTGAGTGGGCTGGAACGCGAAGCTCATGACAAACGGTTGCGGCATCCTTGTATCGCTTTACTGACCAAGCCAAGAGCTTGAAAATTGCCGGGCAGTATTTATCGACGATGCCCTTGGCGCTGAGAAGGTCGATAAAGTCTGTCACGAGCGCCATGAGAGCACCAGCAAAGTATGGGTCACGCATGTGGCGTCCGTGTTTTTGAGTAAAGATGTCATCTAGTGCGCTCTACGTTGGTGTGTGTTTGGTCGGCAAAAGATGGATGCTTATCAGTAGCCGCTGAACAGCCTCGAGAACAAACAGGTGGCTACGAGAGGTATGGCCTACACGACAAATGATCATGGCTTACCAAACAGTCAATCATGGTGCTCTTCTCGTCGTGAGATAGCAAGACGCGAAGACAGAGCAGTTCGGCGTTTGCCCAACCCAGCGCAGTTTCCTGTATACGGATTTGTGGTGGCGCGGATGAGCGCATGACAGACTGCGTTATGATAAAGCAAACCGCACGACCTACGCAGCGAGCGCGATCAAGGACACGTTGCAGCGTAGGGACGGCGTCCACAACAAATTCCTCATCCAAACGCATGAGTTCTTGAAGCAGCAGAAGGGCCTAAAAACAGTTGAGGTGAGTTGAGCGTGATGAGGACCGGACAGCCTCGACTATACCCCGGCCAAGCTTTGCAACAAGAAGATGCCCACCTCAGATAGGGCGGCAAAAGCGAATTCGGCATCCAAAGCACCTAGTTTGGCCTGTTGAGCAAAATCGGCAAGAACAAAAGATGAATCAAGGCATTGCAACCATGCAACCCGTCGTCAAAGGGTTGCAGAGAGGTACTTAAGAGACGTCGATCAAATGTGAATGCGCACCCAGTCATTGCTTGAGGTAGAAAGAAGCTGGTCGATGATACGCGTCACAATTTCAATGCAGGCATCCCGGGTCGTGGCAATCAGGTAGAGGGCAGGCTGGCCTTCATCGTGAGACAGCTCAGCTGCGGACAGCATTGTGGATAGGAAAGGGCGAGATAAGCCTTGGTGCAATGTGCTCTGAGACATGGGAAAAGACAGAGCGAGACAAGGACCGTACATGGCCGTGCAAAAAATTTGAGCCACTTGCGTAGGCCACTAAAACTTTGAATGGAGTTGAGATGCTCATTCTCATACGTCTTGCCTGTAATCCACACCAGATGAGAATATTCTTGAGCAGACAAAACCAAAAAACAAAAGCCCGAAAAAAGCTGATGAACGCCGAGACGCGACTCACCTAGACACAGCGGCGTGAAAGGGCTCATGGAAGCATCGCCGTTGAGATCCTATCGAGGCCCAGAAGAAAGAGGGTCGGGAAGACGGGGGAAAGGGACTCGTTCAGAGCGTGCTGCCTTTTTGCACGCGTTGGGAGCACTGATTCGTGGTTGTTCTTCTGGCCAGCACGACTTTAAAGTTGACAAAGACTAGGCACGCCCTTACTTTCATGGGCACAGTACGCCCATTCTCCGATACTTGAGGTGGAGCACGCGCAAAGCTTCGGCTGACGTGGCCCATGGCCTCCTGCACGTGGACTGGATGACAACCCCGGTGCCCACGATGGGCAGTGAGCACAAAAAGCATTGAAAACTGGTCTTTCAGCGACTGAAACCCTTGAGAGCCAGAAGAGATGCTTGTGGTGGGCAGCGCCAACAAGTCAACACACTTGGCTCGATGCTGTGGGGGATATTATCGGCCACATTGCTCAAGGTTGGAAAGGCGGCAAGGGACAGGGCAGTGTCCTCCTTCAACCAGCTGCCAGAGTCACAGAGAGTAAACAGGTGCGCGCCAGTCGAGCCAAGAGCGACGGGACAATGAGACCAGACGTGGAGCAAAAGTGAGGTTTTGGAGTCGACATGGCAGTTCCACAGATGCGTGGGCGCAAAGTAAGCAATCACGGACCGCGTGAGTGTCAGAAAATGCTTGCTAAGAAAGGCGTGGGCGAGTCCCTGACGGGCTAGAAGCAGCATAAGATACCGCCGGCTGGAGGGCTCGACGGGCGGACCCAAAGTCTTGGGCCCAACTCTGACGAGATCAGCATGTAAAAATATTGATGGCCCGTGCATGTGAGCAAGAATAAAAGTATCGCTCAAAGGGGGGGGGGGGGGGGGGGTGCGTTGACGCGCGGTATTGCAGTGTTGCCGAAAAACGCACGATAGAGGAGCTTGTTGGCAGAGGCTGAGGACAAGGAGAAGACGCAGTCGATAGGGACCTACACGCAAGAGGAAGGAACGACACAACAGGCAAGGAATAAAGAAATTAAGTCACATTGCCGCACGGTCGGGGGGCAGGTGGGGTCGGCAGGCTGCGTTGTGGCAGAATACAAAAGAGTAAGCTGTCACCTTGATCGGCCTCAGTGACGATCCGATAGCAAAGATCAACTAAGGAAGCAGTCATGCTGCAAGCCCAGACATTGCATTGAAAAAAACATGAGGCCCCGGTGCATATGAGCCGTCTTGAGACGATGCAGTGGCAGTGACACAATGCAGAGTTTGAGTACCGAAGCCAGGGCGCATTGGCCAGAAGGCAGAGGAGTTGGGCAGCCCACGCCACGCCATCGGTTTGTCGATCCTGGGCACGAAGGACCGTTTCAAGCTGATCGCAGTACAACTCGAACTGGTCATCGCTCCATTGCCTGCCGTTTAAGGAGTGGAGAAAGGCAGTGAGATACGGAGAATGTGATCCCAACAGTGAGCAGGTAGGGAGGCAGTAGTGCGGGGCGAACCTGGCCACCGCAATGGCAGCATGGGGGTCACCCATGCTGGGTGCAATCTCGCTTGTGGTCGCCATGATCTGTCTCACCCACGACCGAAGCGCCGCCAGAACCCCTCTATCACAATCTTGCTTCGCCAAAGCCACCCTCACCCCCACACAATCTCCAATAGGGGAGGGAGGGAAAAGCCTCTGGGGCGCTCTTCTCGATCTCTCGATCTGGAGCCGCAGTGCGCACTCTGCACACAGAGAGACCATCTAAGCGATAGTGTAAGTTTTAACACATTGTGGCAACCATCTGTCTGACAAGTTTGAAACGTCTGACAATGAATGGCGGCTGCGAACGTTATGGTCGGGTGCCGTTGGTGATGGGTGGAGTGATGCAAGAGGTGGCGCTCGTCCTTATGGCTCGCAGTTTCTCAGTAGGTTGGGCCCACCAATGCTGGTGGGCGAGACGCAAGACAGAGCAAGCAGCCAGCCAGGGGTGGGGCACCGCAATAAGGGGGTGCCATTTTCTTTCTCTCTATGGAGGACAGTATAGTTTAATCATCACTACTACGCTCTGCGGAGTCGACCTTGGACTGCTAGCATGGCCGCACACGATCCCAAGCCCAGTGCGGGCCTGCATCCAAACCTGCGCGAGGGACCATACTACGCCCCCGGTGCGTGCAAACTGAGTTTGTCTCAAGCCCGTGTCAAGGGTAAAATCATGCGCTGGCCTGACCGGCTCTGCTGGCTGGCAAGTAGGGTCGCAAAATGAGCGCGGCTTGTGGCGATCCAAGCAGTGGATCTATCTTGGTAAGAAATGCAGCCTCCTTTTGGCCTTGACACCTGCCGCTGAGTTGAATTGACCAGGCTCGTCTCACGGTGCATATGGTTTTGCCCTTTCGCTGACGGGGCTCAGGACCCGTCATTGCGGCGCCAATGACCCATATCTGCGTCACGCTGTATCGCAAAACACCGCCCAATCGCCGCAAGTTGATGATTTGGGGTGGCATTGTGGGTACCACGGTCCTAGCCGTGGCCAACCGCCTCTTCCTAATGCACCACAGGTGGGTTGTTTGGATGGCTCGCCACAAAGTCGACCGTTTTGGTTTGCAGACGTGTGCGGTTCACGCTCGTGATGTTGGTTCGCGTTTGTCTGCATGGCTTTGCAGCTGGTGGCCTGATCCCGTGGCTGTTGACCACCGTCTCGCCAACAAGGAGGATGCCAAGACCTCCTTGCCCTTGCCCATCTGAGCGCTCAGCCCGCCCGTCGTGCTGCAAGCCATGAACCCTCTTGTTGCTGTTTATATAAAACCTTGTCATTCATATACGACCCAGCCGAGGTACTGACTGGATTTTTCACATCCCAATGTATCAAGCGCCAAGCGCTCCTATGGTGTTCCCCATCTCCAGTGTTGTCCATGGAACAGAATTGCATGCCCAAAAAAACTTGACCCTGTCAGTCGAGCACCATTTAAAAATTTTAATTTTGCGGAAAGGAGGTGCTGTTACCTGTGTAATTTTTTCCATTTGAGGCTCGAAAAGTGTAATTGTCAGATGAAAGTATCTGACATCCTCGTGTTTCTATTTTTAGAGAACAGCTGTACACGTATCGTCGCGAGGTGCAAGAGCGTTCCACGAGGAGGGCGTGTCTCTCTCTCTCTCTCTCTTCCCTCTCTGTGTTGTTGTGGCTTAAGTGATCAGTGACCCTGCTGGTCCAACATTTTTTTTTTCCCCTCGCACCACGTTGGCTCATCATCTGAAGACACCGCCAGTATGGGTAACGCGACCACCACCCTCAACGTTGTCAACAGGTACGTGAGTGCATGATTGTAACGTGAGGCGCGATTCGATCTCAGGCGTGTTGGTGGCATTCACTCTCATCATGGGGCCTTGCGCTTCAATCTAGCACGGCTTGGCAAGCCACGATCACGGGCCAGACCGTCTCGATCAACCCCGACACGCCTTTGGGCCCGCCCCATGTCGCCACCGTTCCCCCGGGTGGCCAAACTGTCATGAAGATTGAGCGTCACCAGGTTGGTGCAGTGTCTTCCACGAGTGTGCCTGGCATGTCCCATGTAGACCTGATTCAAGTCTGTCTCTGTCTGCCTCATTTCGCATCTGTGCGTGTTGCCTTTTTGACCTGCAGCCAGGCGATGTCCGCTGCAATCTCCTCATCAACTTTAGCAATGGATCCTACTCCACCAAGCGCATGAATGTCAAGCCTGAGGATGTGACCCGCACCCTGCAGCTGACCAACAGCGCCGTGATCCTGGATGGCGAGTCCATCCCCATCGAGCGCGGCAACCCTCCGGCTCACCACCATCATCCTCACCCTCATCCTCATCCTCATCCTCATCCTCATCCTCAGCCCCCGCACCACCAGCCCCACATGCCCCCACCGGGGCCGTTCAACCCGGTGGCGCCTCCAGCGCATGGCCATCATCCCCACCCTCACCCCGCGCCTCCAGCGCATGGCCTGACCCCTGTCTCAGCCCACATGCTGCCCCGTGGTCGTCGCATTCGTCTGACTTCCGTCATTACGGGCCAGAACATGCGCATCAAGAAGGACCACACGGTCGATGCGCGTGGTGGCATGGGCCAGTTTGCCACCTTTGAGATCGATCCCTCCCCCGAAGGTTTCCTTCGCTTGCGCAACGTTGCCGATCCTTCTCGCTACTTGGCCATCAAGAACGATCAGCTGACCTCGGGGACTGGCGGCAAGTTTTGCCACCTGGCCGCCTTCACCATCTCCCCGGGCATTTACTGCCTCAAGACCCTCGAAGGCAACGAGACGGTGGGCTTCAACCAGGACGGTGCCCCAGCTGAGCCCCGCCACGTTAAGAACGGTCCCCGTGCTCAGTTCCGCATCGAGTTTTGCTAGATTAAAGATATCTGGCATTTGGTGTTCCCAATTATACCATCCGATGCGCTTGTCCTTTTTTTTTTTTCTGATCCAATCAGGCCATTGATTTCTCTGGCCCCATTGTGTTCCCCCTTGCCTTGTGTCCCCGTCATTTTCTTGTTTTTTTGGTTTTTTCTGTCTTTTTTTTTGGAGCTTGTGGTTGTTGCTGTTGCTACTGCAAGGTTGTGGTTGTTACTGTTGCTACTGCTGCTCGCTCGTGTGTGCTTGTTCAATCAGTGAATGATTGCAAATTGATGAATGTTGGGTTCATCCGTATTCAATCCATGTTATTCTGATCACGATTCGGAAGGAGGCCTTGTTTGAGAGAGAAAAGGCGAGTGAGAAACGGCATGAGCTGGTCACTTGGAACTTGACCTAGCCATTGAACGACCGACCCGAGAGACAGACGTAAAAAGGGGCGAAGGACGCCAAAAGTGGACAACACAGACCCACCCAACCCCAACATGCCAGCAGCATTGCCAGCGATACATGTCCATTCGTCTGTACGCCAACCGCACCGACTCGGCTGACTGACTCGCCCCGCCAGGCCCCGAAGCTACGTATGCCCTGCTCTCCGACTATAAATAGAGTCTAGACCGCTGCTATTTGAAGTCAAAGGTGTGGCAACAACGTTACATCCGGATCTCTCTCTGTGTGTGTGTGTGTTCAAGTGTGCAATGTTGCGAAAACCCACACACACACACACACACACACACAGGGTTGTATTTTCCTCTTGCTCTCTCTTCTCTGACGGCGGCGCGATCGATCTCTGGCAATATGGCGCATCATCATCACCACCATCATCACGGCGGTCCTGGTCACCATCACCCGCATCATCCACCACCGGCTGCCTTTGGTCATCACCATCACCATCCACCGCCGCCCATGCATCACCACCACCACCACCCGCATCATGGCCCGGGGGTTGGTGCGGGCTTTGCAATGGGCGTCATGGCCGGTGCCGCCATGGGCGCTGCAAACCGCAGATCGACAACCACGATTGTCACCCCACCCCCCGTTTCCTACGGCGGTAACCCCTACACGCAAGCTGCTCCCTACGCTCCCACTTACGCTGCCCCCCCAGTCGGCCTCGTGCCAGCTCCAGCCCATGTGTTGCCCCGAGGTGCCCGGATTCACCTCAACTCTGTCATGACCGGCCGCAACCTTCGCATCAAGCAAGACGGCTCGGTTGATGCGCGTGGCGCCAACGGAGCCTTTGCCACGTTTGACGTGGATCCCTCGCCTGATGGTTATCTGCGCCTGCGCAGCGTGGCTGATCCCTCGCGCTTCCTTGCTATCAAGGGCGACTTTCTCACCTCGGGTTCGTTGATCTGTATTCTTTGTTTCTGCGTGCAGCTGGGCGCTTTCATGCACCCTGATCCTTTTGCGAACATGTGCCCGTCTTGCCTCGATGCTCGTACTCATGCCCACTCCTTCTTTGTCGTGCACCTACATCACAGGCGCCGGAGGCCCCTTCTGCCATCTTTCAGCGTTCACCGTGTCTCCCGACATCTACTGCTTCAAGGCCATCGATCAGATGCACGGTGTTGGTGTCGATCAAAATGGTGATCCCGTCAACCCAGCTCACGTCCAGCATGGTGCTCGCGCTCAATTCCGTATTCAATTCTGTTGAGACCTGCTGGCTGTCGCTGGCCATTTTTTCCCTCTTTCCCACTCTTCCTCTTGCTCTCTCCTCTTGCTCTCTCTTCCGTCTCAAGCGTGAGGCTGGTGCTTGATGCGGCCTGCGTTCTGCTGTCTGATTCTAGTTTTTTTGACCTTGTTGTTCTTCTTGATCGCTTTTTTTTTTTTTTTTCCTTTGTGTTTTGGAAGTGCCTTTGAGCAATGGTCGACTCACATGTCAATTGATGTTGGGATATTCGAGAGACCACTTTGGTACCCACACATTTCACGTGCAAGAAAATGAGCCCCCGCCGGCTCACTTTGTGTATCAACCGCCACCATACGCCACACTCTGCTCGCTGCTGAGATACAAAGTTCATGGTCAAAGCACACGCGCATCAAGCCCCGCTTTTCAAAGTGCAATTGGTCGACATTTTTGGTGCACACACAAAGCGCCTTTCTCTCTGCTTGATCGTCTCTCCCTCTTCTTGATCATCTTTTGTCCGTAAGCTGCAACGTTTTGGTTCTCTCTCTCTCTCTCTCTCTCTCTGTGTTCGAACAGTCTCATCTCTCTCTCTCTCTCTCTGTTTTTTTTTTTTTTCAGAGCTGGCGGGTTTTCATGAATCAACAACGGCCGGTCGTGCGCGTGTGTCAGGGAGAGGGCTATTTCTTGTCCTTGCCACCCCTGCCTCCGACATCAATTTGATTCGGCACTTGCGGTCTTGCCAATCGCACACAGCACTCCCTCCCCTCAGGGGAGCGGAGAACCCTTGCGCCCTCATGAGCTCAGGCTTGTGAAGATTGCGGAAGTAGGCTTTGAACCGCGAGCAAGCCAACGCGAACCTGTACGGTGCGCCACGATGGCCACCTCGACTACTGCCACAGACGAAAGCGGGGCTACAGAGGCGGAGCTGCTCCGCATGCTCGAGGCTGCCAATGCTTCTCTGCAACAGGATGCCCGAGCTGTCTCCTTCAACCGCTCCTCCTCGAGCAGTCCCAGCGGGACAGGCCCTCCCACCCGAACGTCGAGCACCAAATCCACTCATGCTAAACCCCCGGGGCCCATCACAGGCGCCGTAGCTGACGAAGCGCGCACGCCGCTTGCTAGCGATGGCCATGGCGGTGCTGTAGGCCTCTCACCCGTGAGCTCCATTGCCTCGCAAAGCAGCATGGCTGAGGATGGCCTGGATGCATCACATGCCATCATCGACCAGTGGGCCGATGTCTGTGTGCACTTGGAAACGTGGCAAAAAAAGCGCCCCAAACAACTGGCCAATCTGGTGTACGCTGGCGTGCCAGAGCATCTGCGCTGCATCGTCTGGCAAAAATTTGCTGAAGTCCACGCCAAGCAAGCCACCGGCGTGTCAACCGAGGGTGCCATTCCTGCCGACCTAGTTCAAGATGGGACTGATACCGGCACCGCTCCCTCATATGCCGAGCTTCTAGCCCGCGACAGCTCTTTTGACAAGCTCATTCGACTGGACATTGCCAGGACCTTTCCCGAGCACGAAATGTTTGCCAGCAACGAGGGCCTCGGCCAAGAAGTTCTGTATAACGTCGTCAAAGCATATTCCATCTACGATAACGTCGTGGGCTATTGTCAGGGTATCCCATTCCTGGTTGGTCTCCTGCTCATGCACATGCCTGAGGAGGAAGCCTTTCAGCTTTTGGTCGTGATTGTCCGAGACTACGGCCTCAAGGGACTCTTCAAGCCCACGATGGCCGATCTTCCGCTCCGACTGTACCAACTTGAGACCTTGCTCCGTCATGCTTACCCTCGTGTCATGGCACACTTTGATGACCTCGACGTCTCCTGTAATATGTTTGGTACGTGTTCCGACCCCCCGCTTTCGTCTCAGCTTGCCGTTGTTCTTCGTACCCCAGCTCCCCATTAACCTTCTTGGCTCTTATGGTCTACACCTGCCTCGATGCCTTGGTCCCTCTGACGCTGTGCAGCCACGCAGTGGTTCATGACGCTCTTCTCCAGCACGATGCCGCTCAAGCTCAGCTTTCGCATCTTTGATCTCTTTTTACACGAAGGCGTCGATGCCATCTTTCGCGTGGCCCTGGCCATCATCGGGCAGAGCCAGCGCGATTTGCTTCGAGAGAACTTTGAAGGCGTGATGGGCCTTCTGTCTCGTGACAAGCTTTTCAAGCGTTACGAGAACAATGGCCACTCCTTGATGATGGCAGCCAAGAGTGTGGTCCTGAATCTGAAGCGTCTGCAAAAGGCCGAACGTGACTATTTAGCAGCCCAGCGTCAGGAGGAGCAGCTTCAGCGAGAGGTTGATGAGTGGCGCTCCAAGTGCCATGAGCTGACAGCGGAGAACGAGTCTCTTCGCGACAAAGTTGCATCGCTTGAAGAAGCCTACCATGTTCTTGCCACTAAAAATCTCGACATTAGTATACGCCTGGCTTCCTCCACTGACGCGCTGGAATCAGCTCAAAGCGAGGTCAGTGTCCACGAGCTCTATACCTGCAAACGTCTGCTTTGTGCCGCGCCCCACCACTATCGCGCCTGGCTTCTCCAGCCCTGAGCGTTGTGCATGTTTGCTCGCATAGGTGGCTACCTTGAGAACCTCATCTCACGATAGAAGCTTGCGCGGCAGTCGCGACGACTCGAGCGTTGGCCTGCGCCGCGAGTTAGTTCCTGTCACCCGCTGGCTATCGCCTCCGCCTGTGTGCGTGTCGTTCTTTCACTTTTCTGCTTGTGGTGCATGCTTTGCCTCATCTCTAGTTCGTCGACGGGCTCGCCCGCTGGTGTGCGCCGGCGAAAGCAGCGCTCCATCTCTTGTGGCACCTTGGCTCCCTTGGATGCTCTTGATGGTGCTGAGTCTGGTGCCTTTGAGGACGCCGAGACTACGTTTGACGCTACCACCATCCCTGAGGCTGACGTGGAGAGCTCCGACGTTTCAGCGGCTGGCACATCAGATCAACCGTCACTTTCGTCCTCTTACTCAGCTGAATCGCGACCTCCGCGACGCTCCGCCTCCTCCCCCGCTCGTCAGCTTCCTGCTGCTCCCGACTCGACCAACCACACTGCAATGCCACCGACTTGACCCGTCCTGCCATCTCGTTTTCTCCTCCTATGCCCGATGCCTAGTTGATTATAATCGATCGTTCATTTATCGCGATTGCATGGTGTGGTGGATACATCAGTCTTCGTTTTTTTTTTTCAAGGCTGCGTCATTATTGCGTCGCAGCAGTCCCTCGAACAGAGGAGCTCCAGAGGGACGGGTATCACATCGGCAGCTGGCACATGGGATGTACTGTGCATGACAAGACAGTGGAATAGAACGAAATGGAACCATCATCGAAACTTTGACCTTGACTGGTGGTGGTGGATTTGTTTGCCTAGACGAGACAACACAGCACACTCCGGCTACACATCATACTCACGAAACCATGCTCCACACCCTTGCCACACCCTCGTCTTGATGGCATCGACAGTAGTGGTAACGGTGCCAAAAATACAAGAAATATTCGTGCAAAATTCGTCAAAAATAGCCGAGAAATCAATTTTGCGTTGACATGTCATCATTTTTGTGTTTGCTTCACCTGTGTGGCGTATGATCAGATCAGCTCAGCCATCGGAAACGGGTTCGGCGAGCTGTTTGTGAGCGGCCGGCCGTCTGTCCGAGGGGCTGGCTTTTGGTCGAGTCAAAGTCATCTGCGTTGGGTCAGCAGTACGCGCCATGGGAGCCCAAAATGAGTCGGACCAATGAAGAATGAGCGGGAATGAATGAGAACCGAGCCCGGTCGACCCGCGCGTCCGGAGTAGCCGCGAACCAAGCTAAACCATGGCAGGGCTTACGCCGTCATGGCTCTGGCCACTCATGCTGCTAACAGCAGCCCAGTTGGGATGGCCGCACATGCCCAGTGGCTCTATCGGGTCGGTGGCAGCGGAGACAATTGCTGTCTTTGACTTTACCGGTCAAACGGGCCTGGGCTGGCCCTCGCCTGCCAACGTGGCTGACCATGGTTGGTGGCTTGAGATCACCAACAGCAGCCTCATTGCACCAACAGCGGTTCTTCAGGTACGCGTCGATCCAACCAACCTACAGCAAACGCGGCACAACAGGGTACAAGCGAGGCCATGCTTAGCCAAAAAGTATGCATTCAATGTCACAGCTCACAACCACGGCTCCATCCGACAGGTCAAGGCAAGCCCCGTGCGGTTCTGGCCATCATCCCAAGACGCGTTTGTAGCTGCGGGGATAGGCGATCAGGTTGAAGTGGTATGGTCATCTACAATCATTAACGTCTCTTGTTTTGAAAACGTGACCGTGTCCGTCGACTGGCTTCGGCCCTCCCACAGCACGGACCCCAGCCCGTCCACAACCGCCTTCACAGCTCAGACCACGCATGCTACGGTTGAACTCATGTCATCCGGAACGACCACCAAAAGCGAAATGACACCCTCAAAATCCGCCACCTCCTCAGCTTTGTTCATCAACGCATCAAGCAGCAGTGGCACTTCACCAACTCTGAGCTCTACACCTGAGACGACACCTGGATCGCCCAGCGCTTCTACAGAGGCCACCACAGCACCCGTATCATGGCATCCCAATCGCGTGGGGGACCGGCTTATCTGGCTGTACGCTGTGGACCAGTTCATTGCTGTCCCATCATCCTTGCGCACGGTGGATGGCCAGGTACCTGACTCAGCGTCACACGGCAGCACGATCGTTCGCGATCTGCGCGGCGCTGCCACCCTGCAAATTCTGGCCAGCATGATGGTCAGCCCCACCTCCGAAGGCTATGCTTTTGACAACATTGTTGTGAGCGGCGCACCTCGAGAAGCAGCCATGGCTGCATGGTCGGCCTGGTCTGTTGGACCCTGGTCAGCTTGGTCAGCGTATGAGCCTCAGAACTGTTTCGTCAACCAGAGCCGCACCCGGGTGCGCCAGACAACGCGGACCTGTGAAGCCACAGGCTGTGCGCAAATATACGATTGCCCGGGGCCTGCCATCAGCAACGACACAGACACGGAGCTTCGTCCAGCCGCAGACAATTGCTGTGGGCCACGCAACGCTACCTGGTCCGACCTGAATATTGCTGGATACGGTGCCTGGAGTGCTTGGTCACCTTCCATGTGTGGAACCACCCAGTTTCGCACTCGATCTGTCTTATGGAGTCGCAGCTGCACTCCAGAGCTCTGTGGTGGGCTCAACTGCTCAGAGGTGATCCCACCCTCGCCATACAATCTGACAACCACATCGACGGACAGTCGCAGTGCAGCGGAGAACTGCTGCCAGGTCGACTCTTCCTGGAGCACCTGGAGCGCATCCAGTTGGTCAGCGTGGACAGGATGGGCACCTCCAGATTGTGGGGTCGCGCAGAATCGTACCCGAGAGCGCGGGCTCAATCGCACGTGCACTGAGGGCAGTTGTGGTGGTGCACCCTGTACCGGGCCTGCATACACGACTGAGCTGGACCTCGACTCGCGCGGCGCAACTGCCAACTGCTGCTTTCAGGCTGGAACGTGGTCCAACTGGACCTATGCGCCTTGGAGTACATGGTCTTCCTTTTCACCAGAGACGTGCGGGGTCGAACAGCTTCGCACGCGCTCACGCAACAGAAGTCGTGTATGTGAAGGCGCTGTGCCAGACTGTCCAGCTACATGTTCAAGTGATGCGTCAGCCCTTAGCGAGACGGAATCGGAGACGCGTTCGGCAGAACAAAATTGCTGCCCTATAGATGGCAGGTATGCTTCAGCCAGGGTCGTCAGCAAGAAAGCCCTCCTCGTTCACACCTCCCTCTCCCCTGCCCACTATGCGCGCTTAGCTTTGCTTTTCTTTGCGTCTTGTCCTCATTCTTGTATGCTTCGCATTGTAGGGCGGGACCTGCCGTCGCTGGTGCGTGGACTACCTGGCCAGAATGGGGCACCACGTGCGGTGTAGCACAGACAAGACAGCGACAGCGCACAGTCGTTCGTCAGTGTAATGCACCAGCCCCGGAATGCGGGGGTGAGGCATGTCCGACCTCAGACCTTGTCCACATTGAATATGACGTTGAAAACCGCACAGCGGAAGAAAACTGCTGTCCCATTGACGGCGTTTACGGTAACTGGAGCTATGGCGCTTGGAGCGCTTGGAGCAGCCCATCTACTTGTGGGGAGGAAACGCTTGTTGAGCGGACGAGGACACGTACACGAGCATGTGATAGTCCCGCTCCGAGCTGTGGTGGAGCACCCTGTATTGGCTCGACAGAGAGCGTTGACACAGAGCGGCAAACGATGACCGCGGAGGAAAACTGCTGTCCAATCAATGGCCAGTGGAGTAGTTGGCATGCAACCGACGCCTGGTCGGCCTGGTCCCTCTGGCTTCCAGCCGACATTTGCTCTGGTACACAGACGCGCACTCGCATGCGAGCTGAGTTGCGAGCCTGTGACAGTCCCGAACCCAGCTGCAACGGCACAGCCTGCCAAGGCTCAGCCACACGGCAAAACTTGGATGATCAACACCGCAATATCTCTGGAGCGGTGGACGGCGCTTGGACAGCATGGTGGCTGGAGGCATGGTCGACATGGAGTCCATTTGAGCCCGAGTCGTTGTGCACCGGGTGGCAAAACCGTACCCGCACGCGCAGCAAGACACGCGACTGCAGCGAAGGTACGTGTGGCGGTAGTCCCTGTGCTGGGGTTGCTTCGGCCATTGACACGGAAACGGACGCGCGCTATGTCAATGGCGTCGAGAATGGCACCTGGGTTAACGTTACCGTCTCAGCGTGGTCGACGTGGTCGGCCTGGAGCGGAGACCCTTGCGGCTCTCAATTAAATGCCACCCGACAGCGCAGTATTGCGCGGGATTGTCAGGAGCCCGTTTGTGGTGGACTGCCGTGCCAGGGCCTTGCCGATTACACTGAGGTAGAGCAGCGCTCTCGCAACATTACCGATCCCTGTGCCGAGGGGTGCCGGATCGACGGTCAATACACCAGCTGGGAAGCCCATACTTGGAGCACCTGGATGTACGCTGACCTGGCGCTGTGCGGTCAAGACCAGGTATGTCAGAAGTGCTATATTTCGGGGATTTTCTTTCAAAAGGAAAAGGGACCTGTTGTTTGGGTTTGCTTTCAGCAGATTGGCGAGCATGGCGTGCCTGTCTCTGTGTTGTCACGTGTTGCAAGTGGGCCTGGTGCTCCGTGTGGTTATTACATATCGCGAACATCCCACCCTCAACTTTGAATGTGATCAAGCCTTCATGACGACGACACACCAAGCATAGCTTCCAGCTCCTGCACACCAGGGCGTCGCCGGCTCATGAGCGCATGTGGTTTTCTTTCTCTCCTTTTGCTGGCAGAATCGGACGCGATATCGAAATCTGACGCGCTCATGCAGTGCGCCAAGTCCTTTGTGCGACGGAAGCCCATGCGAGGGTCCTGCGGTCACCCAGCAGTCTGAGACCGAAGTGGTGCGGCTTGATTATGTGCCCCCCTCTTGGTCTTCCTGGTCTTATGCAGAATGGACTGGGTGGTCCCACAACTTTTCCTGCCCGATTAATGGAAGCTTGGCACGCACCCGACGCGCAACACGCGAGTGCACATTTGCTGAAGAATCATGTCGCAACTCGACTTGTGCTGGCAGCCCCGTCGTACACGAGTATCAATGGACACACGCAAATAGCTCGTATTTCAATGATTCCCGCACTGCTGCCAATTGTTGTGACTCAGCACTGGTGTTCTATACACTCGCCAACATGTCTAGCTGGTCAGCTTGGCGCTATACCGACGCCGAGCTGCTTCAACCCGTGTGTAATGAAAGCCAGACCCGCCGGCGCTCACGTTCGCTAACCTGGACCTGTCATGCTCCACCCGGCTGCGAACGCGAACGTTGCGGGGATGATGGGAATGTGACCGTTGAAACTGAAACGGAGGCTGCTTACTTTGCTGCATTGGAGCAGGCAACATGGTCTAATTTCACGGCAGAATCTTGGTCAGCTTGGACGCTGGCGGGATTTGGACGATGTGGCCAGTTTCAAAATCAATCACGGTCGCGACAGCTGGTTCGTACGTGCTTGAGCGCGGGGTTGGATTGTCCGCTGCCATGCATTGGGCCCAACGCAACCACAGAGTCACAGTCTGGCGTTTCCGTGGAGCTCTATTGTCCAGCTGAATGTGTACAGAATGGAACCTGGAGTGCGTGGATGTCAGAACCATGGTTGAGCTGGACAGCTTGGACACCAAATAAATGTGGCGTCGTGCGCCAGCGCACGCGTCAGCGCAGCTGGATACGCAATTGTACTGAGCCTGCCTGTGATGGCCTGCCATGTCAGGGCTCAGATATCCGTGTGGAGACTGAGAATGCTACCAGCTACGCCAACGAATCTTGCTGTCGAGAAAACACCAACGCCGATGGAGGGGAATGCTGCTCCAACGCATACCTTGAGTTGGCGTCTGGCTATTGTCGCCGAATTCGCCAATGTGACTATGAAAGCGGGTTTTACGCCCAAACTCCGGCCACGAGCACGAGTGACACAATTTGTGCACTCTGCCCAGCTGGCACCACAAGCAACGCGAACCAAGGGTGCACAAACTGTCCTGCTGGCACGTATGCAGCAGAAGGAGAATACCGCGCTTGCTCGCTCCTCACTTGCGTTGAAGGCACCACCGATCACGACCGCGACCCATCGACGGCCTGTGTGCCCTGGTAAGTGTCGCCTAGCATGCACGCTCCAATTACGTGCTTGTTTTTTTTTTTTCTCGGCGGTTCAAGTGAAACAAGGGTAGTTTGTGTCGAACGCTGGCTGGTCCTCTTTTGCCCCTCATTCTTCGTCCAATCCGTCACGTGTTGCTTGCGCTTGATAGTCGCCCAGCCTGCGAAGCAGGCCAATATGAAAGCTTTCCATGTACGGCAGCTCAAGATCGAATATGCGATGCTTGCCCCTCCGGCACCTTCTCGCCAGACGGCGTTGCTTGTCGTACATGTAGCTCCATGTGCCGCCAGGGCACGTATGCCAGCCGTGTTTGTGATGGCGTGAATGACTACCTCTGTCTCACCTGCACAAGCGAGGTACGGAGTTCACGTTCACATTCCCGCATGACTGTTATCCTTGGCTAGCTTTGGCGAGGGGACGAGCAGACAGGGCTCATCCCTTTTTTTGGTGTGGCTGACCGATTGAAACTCATTTTGCAATGACTGATGTTAATTGGGTCGTAAAATACCATGTGGTTCTCGTGGTGACAGGATACCTGTGCCTTTGGCGTGTTGCATGCTTGCGTACCCTTGAGCAATACCATTTGCCGTCCTTATAGCGAGGCTACGACGACGTCTGCTGCGAAAACGGACAACAGCAACACCGGGGCTTCAAACTCGGATAGTGGGGGTGGTGGCATGCCAGTGTGGGCCATTGTCCTGATTGTTCTTGTGTCGCTGTTCATGCTCGTCAATATTTATGTAATCTGCCGCTCGCGCCCGCGAGAGCCCACGAGAACGTAAGGGTCTTCCTTTGCGTCTTGGCTCGTCATATTGCCACACCTGTTGTCAGGTTCAAAACAGTGACAACCTGCGACCCTTGCAGTCGCTCATCTCGCGCGCCAAATGTGATTTCATAATTAGTGGAAAGTATGAGCTTGGGACGGAGATGAGAGTCTTGCCCGGACGCCACACACCTACGGATGAGGAATCAGTCTACTCTGGTCAGGCCTGTTG